TTCTTGTGTTACTTTTCTGTAATTTTTATATATGTTATCAATATCTGAATATGACCATTCTTTTGTGACTGATGATGTAGTAACTAAATGGTTATAACTGGCCATAATTTTTAAAAGGTGGACCGGTAAGCCAGCTGAAGGCCTCGGTCAGATTACCAAAAGCTCCAACGGGGGGTCATCATCTAAGACCAGCGTCAGGAAACACTTGTCCTGTTTCCTGACAAAGCTGGTCCCACTCTCACTCGCTCACTCACTCAGCTCACTCAGCGGCCTAGAAGCAGACAACAAGCCTACTCTCTCTCCCTCATGGGCATGGCTCTCCTGGGCCCTGGGCATTTAACACACCAGCCTGTGTGCCCACCACGACTTTGCAAATAAAGTAAGAAGCCTCCGAAGACGTCTATCATTGAACCCCGCTCCGCTGCAGCATCACCAAATAAGTTTGTTTCACACAAACCTTACCTAACCTAACCTCTGATGATGTGTTATGTTTTATTGTGTTCACTTTTCTTTAGTTAAATCTCATTTTTTTTGTTAATATTGTAGTCTCTAATTTTTATGTGAATTATTTTTTATACGTTATTTTTCTGAAGGTGACGAATGTGTACTGGTGTTTTGTTAATCATGTCCCTTTCTATTTTTTGTAAGATCTTATTTTTTTTTAATCAATAGTATTGCGAGTTGTACGACTCAATCAGAAATTACAGGGTTTAGTAGCAACCAGGCACCCCTGGGGATATGCTAGAGACTTACTAGAGACAAAGCAGGCATCCCTGAAGATATGCCAAAAATTTGCTAGAGTCAACCAAACCAGGAACGCTGGATATATGCTAGAAAGTTGCTAACGTTCTTGACAACCCTAGTCCTGGAAGACCAGGAATCTGAAGGTCTCTGTTCTAGCCTGAAGAAGGAATGTATAAGCCAAATGGATCAGGGAAGTACCCAGATACAGCATAATAAGGTAAGGAAGTTCCTTGGAAATCTGTGAAGTGACAGCCATAATTTTTACGTGGCTATGATCATATATGTGAGATAATTAGGTGTATTCTGGTATAGCGAGTTATACCCGACTGTACTTATGAATGATTTTATGTTTCCCAACATTGGTGCTTGTAAATATTTTTTTACTGCAGGTGTCGAGCTTCACATTTCAATGAAATGTGTGTTTCTTTATTAAATTTTAAACTATTTTACCTAGAGATGTTTCATTAGCCCCTTGAGCCATGCATATATGGTCCATTTGTATGAGATACATATAGTAACCTTATCTTTTCCCTAGAGAGTCAAGCCCCATTTATAAGGTGCCTATGCTCACTTTTCAGACCCAGAGATCAGAACAAATATTTTGTTTTAAGTAGCCTGAATTATTCCTCCTAGGGTTTTCCTGCTTTCACCCAAATGACTTATGTTGCAGCTAGCCAGCTACAATACAGGAAAACAGTGCAGCTAACAACGAGAGATAAGGCACATGCCTGGTGTGTGGAGCATATCGGGCCCTCATTAGAAGCAGCGTTAAATACGCATACAATGTGTTGTGTCAGCATGAAGCGCACTGCCTCTACAGGCAACTAAAACTCCGCTGGTCACCTCCTCAATTGCGATTACTCTTGATAACATTCAGATCGACTTCTAGTAGGACCCTATCTCGTATCCATAAAGCTCCTCGTTCATGTGCAACAGAGAAATCCGTAGACATTGTAAAACAGGTAAATGGAGGTTCTACAACTTAGAAGCATGAGGCACCATCAATGCATTGCACAACCTGCTTCTGTGGATGGTAACCTAAAGACGAAGAAAGAAATTCTAGCATGTATCTGCTCGAATTCAACTGTTGCTCCAGTGGATGTTTTTACAACCCTCGCTGGGGTAGTACTTCTCCTCTCTTCTGAGGAAGAGTTACTTCAACTACTTAAGTAGGAAGTCCTGGACAAATTGATGACTTTTGGAATCCACCCAATTGCACCTGAAAGCTATCAAGCTCGGCGAACTGTGTTTGTTGCCAGAATCAACAGCATCATGAGAGATAGCACAGTGCAGGAAATTGTTGAGGACTTTAATACAGAGAATTCTGAATTTCATGCTGTCCAAGCACATAAATTCTCCAAACCTGGCAATAACCAGGTAACATTAAAGTTAATACTTGTGACACCTGAAGAGGCCAAACTTGTGTGTCAAAATGGCTACAAATGTTTTGGCACCAGATGTACACCTGACCAAATCTCTCTTGAACGAATTGTCAGTGTTACACAATGTTTTAAATGTTATGCCTTTGGTCATACCACCAACAAATGCAGTACTCAAGCACAGATTTGCAGTATTTGCTCTGGCCAACATTCTTATAGAGATTGTAATAATAAAAATTCGCCCAAGTGTGTCCTCTGCAATGAAAAACACCATGCTGTTTCTGCTCTCTGTCCTGAGAGGAAAAATGAAATGCAGAAAATTCTAGAAGCTAAGAAACTGTCCACTTCTAAGAAGACCACTCCCCAGGCACCTCCAACAATGTCCCAAACTTCCTTCCCAGCTTTGCCTGGATCTAGTGGGACTCCTCAGGTCAATACTACTGGTTCCAATGTTTGGAATTTTGCCCCTCTTGGAGTGCCCCAGTCTAACCCTCACCTACAACATACACAAACGCAACAACAAGGTTCAACCTCACCTCCCATGTCTCAGGTATCCTCAGCCGGGGATATGACGAGAGCGCAACTAATGTATATGATGGCCAAAGACATTGCAGGTGGGGACATTCAACTCTGCTCAAAGGTTTTAAATGATTTGTTAATGGCTAATGGGATCACGCCCATTACTATCCCAGATAACGTTAAGGAGATTATGGCCCAGCCTTCTCATAGCAAGAAGTATGTTCCCTACTCTACCTCTACAAATAAGTCTAATTCATCCCTTGTACAGGGATCACCAACCTCGCATAACCAAGTTGTCAACTCCCCTCAACCCGATGAGTCAATACCTGACTAACGATGCCCCAGAGATTGGTGCTTACTCTTCCGCTATTGCAGCTGATCCTGATGAACAGGAACTTTCCCAAGGTAATTCACCTGGCCTACCAAATTTCCCCTTGGAGCCTCCACAGTCTCCCATTAACTCTCAAGAGCCTCTGCTTCCTGAAACTGGGGATATCACACCTCAGTTTTCTGATGATGACTCTAATGACTCTAATGATTCTGTTAATATTACCAACTCTAGTGAAGATGGTGACACTTTCAATACACAAGCAACTACTCAGAACTTCTCTCCTCCCCTTGACGAGTCCAGCAGGGATAGTGAGTATACCAAAAAAGACATTACTTGCAGGCGTTCAGTCCGCAGTACACGTCCGAAGAGCACGAAATAATGGGGATTACAATTTTCCAACTTAATATTCAACATTTCTTTAATAACCGTTACCTTCTTGAGGTTGAACTACATGATTACAATCCCGATGTTATACTTTTGAACGAGACAGCTGCAAGAGTTGATCAACATATTAAATTACGTGGTTACTCTACTGTGGAGAAATCGAGAGGACCCTTTAGTGGTGTAGCCATCTTAGTTAAATTAGGCTATACATTTAAAAATATTTATGTTGATGAAGATAACATTCTTGCAATAGAAATGACAACGTCTCATGTCCAACTAGTGATAGGAACTGGATATTTTCCCCCGAGACATCCATATATAGAGTCAATTCCTCTACATAGGATATTAAGCAGAAATATTCCAACAATTCTAGCGGGAGATTTTAATGCTCATCACCCTGCCCTCTTTAACTGTGGAGCTGGTATTCCACTGGGTGACTTAAAAGGAAAACAACTATTTAATATCATGACCGCCAGAAACTTAGACCTCATCCAGGGACACCAAATATAGTCCTGACAAACAGAGACTGTGATCTTTCATTGTCGTATATCTCCTGGTGGAAATGTAGGATCTGACCATATCCCTGTTATAATACAACTACAAACTTCTCCATTTAGAATACCTGTAACTCCTAAACCCAATCTTAACACCCTAGGATTTGGCCCCTTCAGGGCATTTCTGGGTGAAGATGAAATTGTGTCGTTGGAAAATCTACCTTCCACTGCAATTGATGACGCGATCAGGTCCCTTCACAATCGAATAATTGAAGCTACTAATGCAACTTGCCAATTAGCTTCCACAAAGATCTATCAACAATAAAAACCTATGAGGGAAATTAGAAAGGCTTTAAGAAATTACCAAGCAGAATGTCGAAGGCATCTTCAAACGCGACAACCACCAGTGGCTACATTGCACAGATTGAGGCAAGAATTAATTAACATGATTAGTCATCACAAACGTGACTATTGGAAATTGCTGGTTCTCCAAGCTAATCAGTATAAACGTGAGCCAGCAAAATTTTGGAGTAAGATCCGACAACTGTTAGGGGCAAAGCACAAGGCTCCTAACTACCTAATTCATACCTTCACTGATGAGGATGAGGAAGATGTTGAGATTAA